CCCAGTGGCACTCCAAGGCTGGAGCCTTTGGGGCCCATCAGAGTGGCTCCTGAGGAACCTCTATGGGTCTGTGCTAGTGGGGGAAGGGTCGACACAGCAGCACTCCAGAGCTGCCGCCTTGGGGCCTATTTGTGGGTTCCTGGCAGGCCACTATGGGTCTGTGCTGTTGGGGGAGGTGCGGGGTCAGGTGCACTCGGGGGCCTTGGGGCGTATCGGAAGGGTCCTAGCTTACCACTATGGGTATGTGCTGTGGGGGAGGCTCTGGGTCCGCAGCACTCCAAGGTTGCAGTCTTGGTGACCAATGGAAGGGGGCCTGGTGTACCCTTTGATCTGTGCTGGCGGGAGCGGGATCGGGCCAGCAGCACTCCAGGGCTGCAGACTTGGGTCCTATGGGGTGGGGGAATCCTGACAGGCCCCTATAGCTCTGTGCTGGTGGGGGAGTGGTCAGTGCCAGAGGCTCCAGGGGTGCAGCATTGGGGCATATCAGTGGGGTACTGGCTGACCCCTATTGGTCTGTGCTGTCGGGGGAGGGGCCAAGACTGTGGCACTCCAGGGGTGCAGACTTGTGGGTCGATCGGAGGGGCCTGGCAGACCCTATGATCTGGCGGGGGAGGGGTTCTCTGTAGGGTTTTGACCCAAGCCTGGGGAGGAAAGAAATGACCAGTGGTCTTTATGTCTAAACTACTAGACCCTGTCTCTTGAGGATGGACTGAATGCATTCAGGCCATCACAGCCATGGCCTTACTGGTAGAAGAGAGCAGGAAATTAACTCGGAGGAACCCTCACAGTCAGTACTCCTCACCAGGTTCGGGTCATGCTTACTTAATCAGTGGGCTGGGCACTGGCTAATAGATTCTCAAATTTTAAAATATGAAGCAAGTTTACTTGAAAAAGATGGAATATGTGCTGGCCATGTCTTCTAACTTATTTTCTTTCAAGCTGAAAGGACCCAGACTCCCCCACTTGAGTTCTTCGCTCACTGCTTCCAGCCTAGAGACCTGGTGTTAGTAAAATCCTGGAAAGAAGATGGACTCCAGCCAGCTGGGAAGGCCCCTCCCAAGTGCTCCTGATCGCGGAGACTGCAGTGAGGACGGCTGGAAAGGGTGGGACTCATTACACCAGAGAAACTGACTGGGGGATCTGGGGACAAAACAGAATTGGCAAGTGTCCTAGGTGGCTCACCAGCCCTTAAGGCTGAAACTAAAAAGAACCTAAAATGTTGATTTTTATCCTAACTCTGTATTTCACAGGCAAGTCACAGAGAGCCCTAAGATGGGAAGGAACTCCTGGTTATCCTGTCAAACTGGTAATCAATATTACTAAAACATCAAGCCCCCAAACCATTAGGTTTGATGCTTGTCAGGTTCTCTCTTGTGGTGACCTAAACGGCCAAAAACAACTTTTTGGAGATAATAAGTATCTCTGTCCTGAATAGACAAATCTTAATAGAGTAAAAAGGCAAGTAGGCCCCCATGTCCAAGGTGGAGCAGTATTTGGTGGACTACCCAGTTTCAAGGGTGGACGGCCCCTCATGTAGCAGAAAAATATTTAAAAAAAGAAAGTTCCACTTAGCTAAAGGAATTCCTCCTGACAATTGCCAGGACAGACAGTGTAACCCCCTTTTATTAAGTATACATAGACCTCAAGACTTAGACTCAGACCCTGTAATTGCCCCTCATTTTTATGGACTCAGTGCAGATGTCATTAAAGTAGATCCCGTGGGAAGGTTTAGTCTTAATTTAATCGAAGGAAAGACTTCACCCATAGTGGCCACCCCCAATTCTGAGAGAAATAACAAGCCAGAGCTTCCCCATAATGACCCTAAACTAGTTACTGTAACAGAGATAAAAGACCTAAAACAGACTCTTGAAATAGAGACAAGTTATGGAGACACCAATGCCTGGGTTAAATTTTCAGTACTCGCTTTGAATAAAAGCGATTGTTACGCATGTGCTGTGGATGGCCACAGGCACAGGTGGTCCATGCCCTCTCTGCTGGGACACAGACTCCACTGAGATGAACTGCATGTTGGCCTTGTACCAGGACAAGGATGCTTGGGGAAATGAGACTTGCAAGGGCTTGTCTTTACTCTTTCATGCACTGAAGAAGTCAGACCCAAGGGCAATCCCCTTTTTCTATAAGGAAGATGAATCACTCCTCAAGCCTCTCTAGGCAAAGGGAAGGTTTCAAAACTCCTGTGGGGAACTACTGACTTGTACCCATGTCCTAAATGTCTCTAAAGAGGGCAACTTCTTGAAAGTACACATCCCCCGAGTGGATGTTTGGTAGTACTGTGGAAAGAGGAACCTGCGCTACTTGTTGCCACCCACCTGGACTAGGCCCTGTGCTTTAGTCCAATTGGCCATTCCATTTACCCTGGCATTCCTCTCCACACCCAAAGAAAAAAACCTTTTTTTCATAGAAGTTGTAGATCATTATAAGGCACCACTTTAGCTAATGAATTAGCTGAAAACTGGCACAAGTAACCCTTATATAGACTGGTTGGAAAAATGGTTTGGAAAATAGAAAGGTATAGTTGCCTCTGTTTTAACATCCCTTGTTATAGTTGCGAGACTTAACTGCTGTAGGACGCTGTATCATCCCTTGTGTGAGAGGCTTGACTCAAAAGCTTATAAAGACAGCCATAAACAAGCAAATACCTATGGCCTACACCCAAAATAATCTTATTAGAAGAAAATTTGAACTATGAGGAAGAGAGTAAAAAGCTATTAGAGAAATTTGAGAAACGACCAAGCATAAATTAAAATACATTACTGGGAATAAAATCAGAAATTCTTAAATAAAAAGAGGGGGGAACTGTTAGGAAAGAGTATAAAACCTAAATGTGATTTATTCCCACTAGGATGTTTAAACATTTTAACAGTAAGGGCCACGTGGTGGAAGCTGCTCCAGCTGAGAGTGGGGCTGGGGAAATTGATAAGGGCCTGGCAATACCTGTTTGAGTTTTTTTAAACCGACCAATAAGAATAAGACATGTAAAGGAAAGATATAACGAGCTTAGGCCACGTCCGGGGAAGACTGTGAACCCTGTAGTACTCAGCCAATGAGGAACCAGGGGAGGAACTCACGCACTAGGAGATGAATTATTAGCACCAAACTCCCCAGGTGTGCCTGCCCACCAGACACCCAATCTTGCAAGACCGTCATTAAAGCCTCACTCCACTGTTCTCTTTGTCTCCATGTCCACTTACTGAATTTGGACCAGTGAGTGTGTTCCTTACATCACGGACCCTATGGGTCTCTGCTGGCAGGGGAGGGGTTGGGGAGCTGCACTATAGACCTTGGGGTCTATTGAAGGGGCTCCTGGTGGATCTGTAGGGTGTGTGCTGGCAGGGGATGGGTCAGGCCAGTGGCACTCCAGGGCTGCAGCCTTGGTGCCCTCTCCGAGGGTATCCTGGCTGACTCTATGGGTCTGTGCAGGTGGGGGAGGGGCCGTGCCAGCATCAATCGAGGGTGCAGCCTTGGGAGCCTATCGGAAGGGGTCCTGGCAGACTCTATGTTCTGTGCTGTCAGGGAAGTGGTCTGGCCAGCGGCTCCAGGGGTGCAGCTTGGAGGGCCTACTGGAGGGGTTCCTGGCGGACCTGAATGGTACTGGGCTGGTGGGGGAGGAGTTGGCCCAGCGGCACTCCAGGGCTGCAGCCTTGGGGGACTATCAGAGCAGATCCTGATGAACCCTATGGGTCTGCTGGTGGGGGAGGGGTCGACACAGTGACACTCCAGGGCTGCAGCCTTTGGGGCCTATCAGAGGGGTCCTGGCCTACCCCTATGGGTCAGTGCTGGTGGGGAAGGGGCTGGAACAATGGCACTCCAGGGGTGCAGACTTGGGGACCTATCATAGAGGGTCTTGGCATACCCTATTGTCTGTGCTGGCAGTGGAGTGTTAGTGCCAGTGGCACCCCAGGGCTGCAGCCTTATGGGCCTATTGGAGGGGGTCCTGGCAGACCCTATGGTCTGTGCTGGCTGGGGAGGGGTCGGGCCAGCGGCACTCCAGGGCTGGAGACTTGGGTCGTATCAGGGGGATCCTGGCAGACCCCTATGGGTCTGTGCTGGTGGGGAAGGTGTCAAGGCTAGCGGCACTGCAGGGCTGCAGCCTTGGGGACCTTTCGAAGGGTATCCTTGTGGACCCTATGGGTCTGTGCGGTCAGGGAAAGAAGGAAGGCAAAGTAAAGGAAGGGGAATAGTCAGTAAGAACAGACTTGGGAGTGGACATCTGTCTGAAGCACCAACAATAGAAACCCTCACAGGGGGAGACACCTGCCTGATACCAGCATCCCTCCATTGATGAGTCCAGGTCTGTCACATTTCTGTGGCTCTCATGTGGGGGTGACACTCTCCTGCTTTCCACACTTGTTTCTTGTGAGGAACTGGGCATGGCACACTTACCATTTTGTATTTTAATTCCAAAGGGAACCTTCTGGAAGGGAGATCTTGAGTGACTGGAATCTCACTGAGAGATAGGCTGGGATACAGACATGAACCAGAACTGGTGGTTCAAATTAAGGAATGAGTGGAATCAAGAGTTGAGACTGGAACTCCAGTTGGGACAGAGGCTGGGACTGGAAAGACGGTGGGGAAATTTTAGCCTGCATTTGAAATGGGTAACAATTCGAGATTACATTGAATAAAAAAGATGGAGACTGTAGTGCTGAAGGGCTCTCAGGGATCCAGGCAGTGGCCCCAAGATTTGCCATGGAGGGAAGGGAGACCCCAGAAAAGCTGGTTATATGTCTGCTGTAGGTGGTCCCCCAAGACTTTGGGATCTGAGGGCTGCTGAGGACCAGGCAGCAGTTCTGGTTTGCCTTTTGTGCTGCAGGAGAGTTGGGGGTTGTGGTGTCCTGCTCAGCACCCAGAGGTTTCAATGTGCTCCCCAAGGAATTCATGTTGTAGGCTGAGCCCATTTGTTTTGGATGTGATATGTCTTTTTCTTTCTCCTTAAAATCTTGATCTTGACTTACTTTGTAATTTCTATTTCCAGGAGATTCTGGTCATCACAGCTTAGCAAAGAGTGGGTACCAGCCACTACCTGTATGCCTGGGTCTCGCCAGAATGAGGCCACTGGCTGAGACTCACCCTGTAAGGAGGTGGAGAGGCTCCAGGCTTTGACAGCCGCCTGCCACCAGGACAGGGCCAAAATGGGGAAACCAAGGTCTGAAGTGGCTGGGGCAGGAGAAGCTCCCCAGGGGGCTTGTGGGGATGGGCTCTGTGGGACAGCACCCAGTGGGAGTGCCACTGGGTCACACGAGGAAGAGTCAGAGTGGAGTCTGGTTGGGGGGCAGAGGAGGCTGTCAGAGATGGAGGGCGGGATTCTAAGTCAGAGGAACATGGGAGTGGAGGGGAAGAAGCAAGTGGCCGGGGTGAAAGGCTGTCCAGGGGAAGGAAGAGCTCTGGTGGTTGAGAGGAACTCAGGGAGGGGTGTGCATGAACAGAACGTGCAGAGGCCAGTGGGCCTGGTGAAGCAGTGGAGGCCAGGGGCAGAGGTTGCTTCAGCAGGGGGGTCTGGGAGGCTGAAGGAGACATGGCAGGAGAAACACTGCCTACAAGCACCCTGCATGGCTGATGGGCTCCAGTAGTCTATGCTTTGCATACGTCACCAGGGGGGTTTTGACGTGACTGATGATCTCCACTCTTGTCCAGGATCCTGCTCAGGTTGCTGGAGAAGACAGGAGGCACAAGCTGTAGCCAGGAGCACACGGGGCCAGGAGAGGCCAAGGTGGCCAGGTGGGGGTGGGCATCTGGGGCTCCTGGCCCTCCACAGCCCCCAGACTGACTTCCTGGTGCTCCTGCTGTCCCACACCCCAGGACTGTACCCACACCTGTCCCCGTGGCTGCCTCTCCCAAGTCAGCCCCAGGCTGCTGCAGCCCTGGAGTCCCATTACGGGCTCTGGGAGGAAGAACCTGAGAGAGAAGGGTGAGCTTCATTACATCTCTAGATGTGACATCAGGCTGCTTGCCACCTCCAGTTCTTACGGGCGAACTCTGCAGCCCGGGAAGTGGAAGACACGATCATGGCAGTGAAAGCAGGGAGCTAGGGGTCTTATAGGAGCCTGAGGGCCATGTCGTTTTAGGGGAGACTTTGGGGAGCTTAGAGTCTGGAGCCCAAGCCTCAGTGTCCAAGGCCACAGGATCCCTGATGGCGACGGCAAGGCTCGTGATGGGGAACGCTATGTCATTTGCAAATTGCTTCTACATCCATTACCCTCTGCAGCCCTCACAGCCACCCTCATAACCACCCTTTGTGGGGGACAGGGCAAGGGCCACCTTAGAGAGGCTCCTGAGGGAAGTTTAGCACATCATCCACACGTGGACCTGGAGTCCCCGCTCCCAATCCGGGTACTCTTGCTCCACTCCAGCCCACCCCGTCCGTGCTGGGTGACACCCACTTCCAGCCCCTCGCAGCTTTGTTCCAGCACAGACTCTGGGGAGCATCCAGGCTCAGATCTCCTTCCCAGCAGCCTCCCCACGGGCTCCCACTCCTGAGGGACAGGCTCTGCCGCTGGCATCCTCAGGGCCTTCGTGGAGCTGGGCCCTTGGGCGGGAGCGAGGGAGGCTGCCTCGGGGCGGGCAGGGCCAGGGGGCAGGCGCTCACCTCTCAGAGCTGCGCCTCTCTTCCTCCTCCCCCCTTGGCTCCAGGTGATGCTGAGGGACCAAAAAACCAAAATCATGACAGGGTGGGGTCAAGTCTCACTCGACGCACAAATGGGGTGCAGGTCTCAAAGTCCGTGAACGTTACTGTCTACATTTAACTAATGGGTCTTGAGGTTTCCTTCTTGCACTTTTTTAAAGTACATAAAAATATCTTCAGTTTTCCTTCCTTGAAGAATGTAAAGAAGGACTTCCTATGTGAGACCCGCCCTGGCTTTCTTGCATCAGTGTATTTCTCTGCTCAAGAGACACACACATGCTCAGACCACAGGCCCCTCTGAGCTCCGTCAGGCCGCACGCTGCCTCCCGAGGCCTCGGCCCCACTGCAGCCCCTGCTCAGAGGCGCTGAGGGCTCAGCGTTGCCCTAGGGTCAGCCTGGATGAAGCCTCGCCCCAGACCCCTGCCCCAGACCCCTTCCCCACGAAGGCAGCTGGTGTATCAGGGACCTGTCCTACCGCAGGATTCAGATTCTTAGGATCTGGGCTGCAGCCGCTGGCCCCTGGGTTTGGGACTTTGGCCTGGAGCCCTTTACCCCACCTGGCTCCTGTCTGGGATCTTGGGATAGATCCTACTGCCGGAACTGCTGCCTGGCCTGGCTTATGTTTAGAAGGAGGACCTTGTATTCTTTCCTGAGAAAAGATGTTCTCTTCTTTCCCATCCCAGGAGTCTCTACAGCTGACTCCATAAAGCAGCAGTAATCATAGAAAAGAGAGACTCATATTCTGTCTGGTCTGGGCCAAGAGCTCCTTACCTTCCTGATGTTTCCGTGTTTTCTAGATGGTGGTGAGTATGGATCACTTGGGAGGAAGGAGAGTAATAGGAGGAAGAGCCCCAGTCCACACACAGGATGCTGATGATGGTGTCAGTCACCCAGGAGGTGGAGCTGGAGCTCAGCCAGGTAGCCAGAATGCTTTGCAGAGACAGGAGAGGATTTTCCATCATCTGAATGGCACTGCTGCCCTCAGGAAACTGACCTCTGAGCTTGGGCACAGCACAGCAGGCCCACATCACAGAGGGTGGCCTGGTCACAAAGGGCTCCTGAGGGTGGGGGAGGAGAGAGAGGAGGAGCAGGTGGGACCATAGTCCCGTGCCAACCATCCTGTTCCACAGGGCTCTGCATCCTCCTGGGCCTTCTGGGGCCTTCTTTCCAACCCTATTCACCTTGCCAGAGAGACGATTTTTCCATCCATCCAGACATTATCTGGTTCCCATGGTCCTTTAGAGATCTTGACTAGAGGCCCTCCAATTTCATAAACCTTGAAATTCTTAAGTTGACCCTGGAATTTAAGCTATTTCCCAAGGATTTTTACTGAGGATTTCCTCTGTCCACCTTCCCACATAATGTTTATGTCTGGTATAAACCAAGGCACAGAACTTAAATTTATTTTACACTTATTTATATTTGTGAATCTTGAATAGTGCTTTGTCCCATTTACAATCAGATGGACTAGGACAATAATTAAAAGAATTATTCAAAATTTGTAAATCTAAGTAGGAAAGAATTATAAGTAGTTAATCCTTGAAATAATATTTTTGTAAGTTTGTAGCATTTAAAATTATGGAGTTAATAAAACTTTAAATTGTGTACTCTTGGAACACAAACACACACAGAATAATGGAACAGAATAAAAAATGCAGAAATAAATCCACCCATAGGTCAACTAAAAATAATTGAAAATGGAGCCAAGAATATTCGATGGGAAATGGAGAGTCTCTTTAATAAATGTTGCTGGGAAAACCGGATAGCCAAATGCAAAAGAATGAAACTAGACCTCTATCTTAACACTGCTTATGAAAATTAATTCGAGATAGATTAATGCCTTAAACATAAGACCTGATACCATAAAACTCTTAGAAGAAAACGCATGGATAATTCTTCATATTGATAAAATGTTTTTGAATATGACACCAAAAGCACAAGTGACAAAAACAAAAATAAATGAGCAGGGGTACATCAAATTACAAAGTTTTTGCACCACAAAAAAGTAATAATAATTAACAAATTAAAAGGCAAACTGTGGAATGGGAGAAGACATCTGTAAACTACATATCTGATAAAGGGTTAATATAGAATATATAATGAACCTATACAACTAAGTAGCAAAAAGTCAAAAAGCCTAATTTAAAAATGGATGCGAGTACATTTTGAGTTCATTTTTGCATAATGAGTGAGACATAGTTCAAAGTTCATTTTGTGGTAGGGTCTATGGTTATTCAATTATACAATATCTTTTGTTTAAAATACTCTTTTTTTTTTCCTTTGAGATGTTTTTTCACCATGTGTTTAAAATCAATAGGACATATTCATGTTGGTGTTTTTCTGGATTCTCTTCTATTTCATTGATCAATGTGCCTATATTTTTTCTGTCAAAACCGTGTAACACGACTAGTGTAGCTGTAAAGTAAGTCTTGATTCTTCCACTTTTACTATCCTTTTTCAAAATCATCTCAGCTCCTTTTGTAACTTGTATGTTACATAAAAATTAAAGTAATCTTGTCTATACCTACAGTAAGTGTAGCTGAGATTTTTATGGGAATATCATTAAACCTGTAAATCAATGGGGAGAATTAACATACTTTCTGTTGAGTCCCCATGGACACAAGATGACTCTCCATTTATTTAGATCTTGTTTGTTTTCTTTCTTCAGCATTATATAGTTCTGAGCATAAAAGTTCTGTATATGTTTTGCTAGATTTACACCAGTATTTACTTTTTTAGCAATTGTAAATGACACTGTGTTTGGATTTCAGTGTCCATGTGTTCACTTTTAGTATGGAAATACATTTTCCAACTTCTCTAATAAAAGCTGAAACACACACAAAAAAGAAATACATTGATTGTTCTATGTTTATCTTATATCCTGCAGCCTTGTTGAATTCACTTCTTATGATGTTATATAGAAAATGTGTTATCTACAAATAGGGAAAGGCTTTGTTTTTCCATTCTGATCTTTATGCCTTTTATTTCCTTTTCTGGCCTTATTGCTTGGATTACAGCTCCCAGAGCTGTGTTGAGTAACAGAAGTGAAAGGGGACATTCTTGACTTGTTCCTAATCTCATGAAAAAAATTAGGTGTTTAACCATTAATTCTATTGCTAGCTCTAGGTACTTTGTAGATGCTCTTTATCAAATTGAAGAAGTTTCATTCTACTCTTGTTTTTCTGAGAGTTTTTAATCATGAATGGTTGTTGAATTTATCACATACATTTTCTGCTTTGATTTACATGATCATATATTTTTCTCCTTTTGTCTTTTAATGTGGTGGGTTACATTGTTTAATTTTTGAGTATTGAGCTAGTTTCATATGTCTTCTTCCTAGAAGTTGCCTATGGAGGCAGAATTTTGAACACTTTAAGAGTAAATTTTAAAAATTAGTCTGCTGGGGGAAAAGAGGTGAAGCTCAAAATCTATCTTAGTCTTTGTAAGAGAAATACTATATTCTTCCTGTGTTTCTCCTTTACTCTCATACTACTACATCATAATACTTCTGACATTAAATGTGTGATTTTTTACCCATACCAAGCAATTCTGCTACACCAGTTGGGTGTCCTACAGTTTAACTCAACTCTGACACTATCTACCTGAAGATAGTATTGGATCCCACAGGTTAAGGGCTCAGTCCCACTAAACGGTTCTCACCCCACTTTAAACAGTAATCACAAGTAGTAGGTCCCCACATTGCCCACAACGTCTGTCTGTTGGGCCTACAAATAGACATTTTCCATGACCACCTTCCTTGGATTTGACCATTGACTATAACAGCTCACAGAGCTCAGGGAAATGTTAAGTTTTAACAGTTTATTATGTGATAAAGGTTATAGTAAAGATTACAGATGAATAGCCTGATGAGAAGCACATCAGGAGAGATCTGGAAGGGTTCCAAATGCAGGAACTTATGTCTCCATGGAGTTGAGAGGCATCTCCCTCTCGGTACATGGATGTATTAACCAACCCGGAAGCCCTTTGAATTCCTACTTCAGGGGTTTTTATGGAGGCTTCATCCAGTCGCATGATTCATCAT